GACCAGCGCTGCTGCTGCCAGCAGTGAACCCAACAGCACAGGTGAGGCCCTGGCACTGCTTCCCAGAGAGCTGTGGGTGCCCCATCCCTGGAGGTGCCCAGGGCCATTGGATGGGACTCTGGCAGCCTGAGCTTATGGGGGCAGCAAGCCTGGGACAGAAGGTTAGAACTGGGTGGGTTTTAAGGTCCTTTCCAACCCAAACCAAATTGCTTCCTTTCTGCAGCCCCTTACCCTGCCCACCTGGCTCATCTGCCAGCACAGGCAAGCAACGTACCTTGCCATGTGCTGTTGCTTTCCCCAAGAGGACATCATATCTGCGCACGTGTGAGCGCTGTGCTTCCTTCCCCAGCGTGTTATCGATTGCTGAAGGGACACAGTACAACTGCCTGGCTACATTTCAAGCATTTCATAACTGATGGTTATTGAAGACGTATTACATCAGCCTTGTGTGTGCTGCTGGGCTCTGGTTGTGGGCTCTGGGGTTTTCTTCCCCTTGCTCCTCAGCAATACGGGCAGTAGGGCCGGGCATGCTGCCTGCAGGAGGAGCCCTGTGGTGCCTGGCCTGAGCAGCCGTGCTGCCGTATCACACCTTCTGGAAGCAGCACACACACAAGTTTCCTCTCCTGGTGGAAGATGCTGTGAGTTTACTATGCTGACACTCCCCAAGTCTGGTGCTGTTCACCTGGCTCCTTCCTCTGCAGTTACTAAATATTAAATGCTTCGATGCTAAATATACATTTTGCTACTGGTTCATCAGCACAAAAGGAAGAAGTTAGGGTACAATCTAATGCCAGAAGCAGATAACACACATTAGAAATGCGCTTTTCCATCCACGAGTGCAGCACAACCTCTTGGCTGGGACATCTTCTCAAGAGCATCCAGAGACTGCTCGTGACAGGTTTAATCATTAACCTTGATTGAAAAGCCAGTGTTTGCCAGCAGCTACCAATCCACGTGTCAGAGCTCACCCTTGAGCACTTCTGCACAAGGAGCAGAAAATAACCCGGCAGTGACTCAGCTCTCTGACACGTGGTGCCTTTCTTTCCAGTGCAACCCAAGCCAATGCTGCAGTGCTTGGGTATATCCCACCCATGGCCCTTCACTCACAGTCCAGCACCTTGAAGGAAAATCTGAAAAGGTACTGCCATTTCCAGGCTTGCTCTTCTGCTTTTCCACCCCGGCGTTCCCACGTCCATCCTAAGGAAGCACAATTAAGTGAGCTCAGAGCTTTATTTTCTTGCCAGTGACCTCAACCCATAGGAATATACATCTGTGTATGCTGTGCCTCAGGCATCCAGCTGGGGACCTCAGCTGCATTTCTCCATTATGGACAGCAGCCAGCAGAGCCTCTGGCACAGGCACCAACCTGGGAGGGTTCCGTGGGCAGTGTGCCTGGGGAGCGTCCCTGTCCCCAGGGCAGTGTGTGTGTGCCACCACCACTGTGTTCCCAGAGGGAAATTCCTGCAGCAACCTCTTTGGCACCAGCAGCGCTGCTACAGTGTGCCATTGGAAACTTTATTTACTCCCTATTTTCAGCACTACCTTGTGAGAAAAGTCAGCATCATCTAGTCCTTGTAGAGCCTTTTGTAGCCTCAGACTCATCCGTTCCTCTCTGGCTTTGGGAAATGCTGCTTCTTGTGCATTTTGCTTTTGGCAGTGTGATGTGGTCAGGCTTCACCTCCCCAAGTCTGATAAACTAAGTGACTCAGAAACCTGCAATCTGCTTCAAAACAAAGCATTTAAGTTGAGAGATGTAAGCAGTAATGGAGCTGCTCGGCTCGGGAGCACAAGTGCTAAAGGAGGATTCATGTATGCAGGAACCTTCTAACCTTTCAACAGTTTTTTTTTAACCCCTGCAAGCCCTGGGCAACGTGGGTGGCAAGTAAGAGCCAATGTGTCATTTCAGATACACTTCCTCTCCAGTTTGCAGTACCCTCAGAGCAGACGATGCTCTGATGCCAGCACAGAGCAACAAGGATGATGTAGGGTGGGGAGAGCCGAGTGCTCACTCTGCAGCCTCTTAAGTGCTCTTATTTCTGCTAGTTAAACAGATGCTGCCTTCAGAGGGGATTATGTGTCATCAAATCAGTCAGTTGCGACAACTAATTGTCTCCAGCAACAGTTTGCTCTGAGATTGGCAGCTCAAGGGGCATACGGGGGCACTGCCACCCAATGCTGGGTAGCATGGGGAGCACAGGGCTGGTGCTAATGGAGCCCAGCACGGTGGTGAAGTCTAGGGTAAAAACGTTCCATAGCCTGGGTTGGGAGAGATTTCTGGTGAGAGCAGTCAAAAGAGTAAATAGTTGTGGAATGCAGCTTCGAAAACAACACTGAAAATATTATATAACTTCATATAAACTGATAGCTGAGTATCATCAAGATGACCAGGAGAGCTGCAGACCCAGGGTCCTGAAGTAATTTCAGGCACTGAAAAACACATAGGGAATGCTGAAAAAGACTATAAATGAGGAAATAGATGGAGAGGAGTTAGTGGAAAAGGCAAGCAGTGAGTTAGGGCCTGTGGCCCAGAGCTGGGTGTGTTTCATGGCAGTGACCCCATGCTGCCAGCCTCAGCGTCCAGCTCACCCACAGCTGGGCAGGATGAGGACTGAGGGGGCTGAGTTCTCTGCCACTGCAGCACCCTTAGCACGGGCAAGCATCACCCTGCAGCCTGCACGCCGTACTGCTCATTGGACAGACTCTCCCAGCCCAGTTTCCCATGGAGGTATCCCAGTCTGGGATGGGATGGATCCCTCCCAACTCTCCTCCCTCTACTGCAACCTTCCTGCCCCCTCTAGAAGCTGCATCCCATCCCTCCAACCCGGTTAGATCCCCAGCACGCAGTGGGTGGGTGGAGGCACCTGAGGCTGTGTGGCTGCATGCACAAGGGTGCAAAGGTGGGCAAGGAAAGCCTCAGAGCTGGTTCATTCACAGCATCACATCCAGAGCTTGGTCAGTGCTGAGGGGCAGGGCTGTCAGCTGCATGTGTGCTGCTTTCTATGGCCGCTGCTGGTGGGGGCAGTGAGAGCCACCTGCAGCCCCAGTATGTGGCCCGAGGCCTGGAGGACATGAGCAAATTGTCACATGTCATTACTGAGTGGAAAGAACCACTCAGCACTGCACTGCTGCAATGCTGAGCCCTTCGGCCAGCACCAGCTCTTCATCCACTGCACTCAGCACAAAAGGAGGGATTGAAAGGCAGGAATAATTAATAGGAAATGCCTTAAAATGGAGTTGAATCATAGGAAACCACAGAAAATGGAGATGGAGGAAGAGATCAAGGTCTGCAGGGCACCTGCAGCAGGAAACACCATCCCCGCTCTCTTACAGCTCCACTTTCTACCCCTTAGCATTTCAGATCTTGTTCTGGAGGACAGGGGAAGCTTGAGTCTCTAAAAAAGCAGCGCTGCAGAGCTCCTGGGTCTGTGGGGACGCGTAAAGGAATGCAGCTGTCTCTTAAATAACAGAAGCTGACAACCAGCTGTGAGTAGATGAGTGATCATGGCCTCGGCCGTCACAGCGAAGGAGCTCGTTTCAGCGACGAGCCAATGAAGCCCCATTCATCTATCCACAGCCCATCACAAGACTATTAAGAGAGCATCTGTCATGAAACCACAGTCTCTTTAAATGCTTGAAAAAAGGCACAGTAAAAATAACTCTCCTTATTTACTTTTCTTCGGGTGACACGATTCCTGTAAATCTTCAGCAAAAATGAGGGACAAAACCTCCACTCCCTCTAAACTTACACTTACTGGTGCAGATGATGTCTTTTCCTGACATATGCACAGCTCCTCTTACTGCTGGGTAACATGCAAGATGCCCAAAAACCAGATCCACAGGGCCATCCTGCTGCTCATGGACAGATTTGCTTTGGCATAGTCACAGTGCATCTCACAGGCATGAGATGGCAGCTCCTGGATCTGGAGGTAGGCAGCTGGGCTCTGTAATGCACACCCTCTAGGAACCATAGAACCATAGAATTATGAGGGTTGGAAAGGACCACTGAGGGCTTTTAGTCCAACCATCAGCCCGTCACCGCCGTTGAGTGTCTGTGTTCAGCTCAGTGGTAGTGGGAAAGAGTTCACTGCGTGATGCAGCGAGGTGCTTGTCATTTGCACTGACTTGTATTCCAAACCAAATTCCTTGTTTCCTTGTCAACTATGTTTCATTGTCTCGGGTTGTTTGGAAAAATCAGCTTGTATGTGGATGAAAAAATGGACTGTGCTTATATGGGCACAGCTGTAGGGCATCGTCTGCAGCATTCCACACCAAAAGGTAGGACTTAATACCCAAAGTTCCAGTATGGTGAAGCATTGCCTATGGTCATGGATTTTAAGCAGGTAAATATCCTTAAATGTATCAGAAAATGAGCCCTCCACTCCCCAGAAGATCTCAATGCAAACTTGCAAGTCATCACATTGAGGCTTGTCCCTGGCTTTTGGCCAAGCAGTGTATCTCCCACAGTCACTGCTCTGGTGTTTGATTCCACACCAAAGCTACGTGGGGCAGATTTGTCTCACCTAACTCGGCATGCATCCTCCAAAGGGGGCTCAGCCCAGCTGATCCTCTCTGCTACAGTCTCTTCTCTAGCAAAGCTGTCGTGCCTCAAGTAAATCCTGGGAGCAAAGTGTGCATGTGGGCAGCACCTAGCACAAGGGGCCGACCGGGACCTTCATCCCTCTGGGCATAAAACCAGCAAGTAATATTAAAACGATGTATTTTCACAGATTGCAATCAAGGCTTACAGTGCACGAACACTTAATTTCCTGCTTTCGGTCTGCTATCAGATTTTATAGTTGGGACTGTGGGTTTGGTTCATGTTTGTGGTTTTTTTTTCCCAGAATGGGAGAGTTTTCTTCTTTAACTATAATACGTTCAGCCATGAAAATGAGATTGAAAATGATTAATAGGAAGCCAGAGGATTTTTCTGAGATTGGCAAAGATTAATGGGAGCCTCATTCTTATCTGGTTGTTTTCTTTTCTCCCTCTCTTCCCCTTAGCTACCTAGACAGCTTAGATCGAATCGGAGCTGCAGACTACCAGCCCACGGAGCAGGACATCCTTCGAACCAGGGTCAAAACAACTGGCATCGTAGAAACCCACTTCACATTCAAAAACCTCCACTTCAGGTGAGTCTCAAATTGCACACACCAAGGAAGTCGGTGACGAGACATTTCTGGGAGACATCAGTACCATAAGTTTGTGAATCTTGTCTCATAATTCCTATTTGTATATCAGACAGCTCTTTTTAAGACTGGAGCTTGTGCTGCCTTCTTCTAACCCAACCAACACCTCTTTGCTTGGAAAGACAATAGGAGATCAGCCCCAACTCTCATAAATAGACAAATATTGGCCAAATCTTTTTTCCAAAATGAGTTGATCACATACAGTAAGCTCTGTGTATTGGTGAACATGATGGCAGCCAGCAGAGAGACCGAGCCAGAGGTTATCAACCTCTTGCTCTGCGTTTGGAGCCTTCCAGGAACAATTTGGCTGGAAAGTGCCCAAACTGCTGAAGGTCCCCTCAGCCCACAGTGAGCCAGCACTGATGGCCCTGTCCTGTGCCGCAGGCTCTTCGATGTTGGAGGGCAGCGGTCGGAACGCAAGAAGTGGATCCACTGCTTTGAGGACGTCACGGCCATCATTTTCTGCGTGGCGCTGAGCGGCTACGACCAGGTGCTCCATGAAGACGAAACCACGGTGAGTGCCAAGCGGGTCCACGGGGCCCCGTGCTTCTTCACGGATGCCATGGAGCCGTCCCCGCTGGGAGGTGGCCGTGTGCTGGCCGTGGGACTGCAGCTACGTGCTTCTGTGCGTCGCTGCCCCTTTGACATCCCAAGGAGGCTCGTCCTCCTCCGCACTCCCCAAAAACAAGTCCTGCATCCCAGGTAATGGTTCATGTGCTGGCAAAGTCACTGTTTTACTTCTCTTTTCTGGCTGATCTCTGTGTTTTCAAAGTGTGCTAACGAGACTCTGTGTCCGGAAGCAGAGAGGCAGATGGGTGGGCTTTTAAAAGAAGTGGAAGGAAGAGGTCCCATAGCGGTGTAGAAGTGTGGGAGCAAGGTGCCCTCCCGAGGCAGGCTCAGGCGAGGAGCAGAACCTGTTTCTTCAGGCTACAAAAATTCATTTTCACTAGTAAAAGTGGAACTGCTTGATTCCTTAGGTAATTTGCTTCAGGAGGGCTTTTGTAACTTCCTACTGTGACATTAGGCTCAAAATACATCTGGAAATAAAGTTAGTAGGGACCTGTGCTCTCTGATATTAGAAAGAGTGCTATTAATACAAATGAGTTAAATATACAGAAAGGATGCGAGAGGACTCATTACTGTATTCTAGCCGTTCATTCAGTGTGATGGAAATGAAAGCTCTGGGGACTAACAAGTGCAGCAAGCACCCGTCTGACAAAGGAGCCAAAAGCCATACTTCAACCTGGATAATTATTTCATCTGTGCTCAGTCTCACACCTCCCAGCCCTGCCTGTCTGAGGGTCTTTATTCTCCTGCTTATGAGATGTCAGTCCTGCTAGTGAGAACGAAATCGAGGAATGTATGCTGTTAGTTACCACTTGTTTTTTCCCAAAAGACTGGAAGAGCCAACCTTTTCCAAACTGGCTATTTGAGTGCTGGCAAACTGTTGAATGAAATTACTTGAAGTTTGTTTAGGTGGTACTGGGACCAGAATTCAGGGTGGTGTTCACATCATGACTATGTACCTCCAGGTAGCTAAGCAGACCGATGAAGATACCCTGTGCCTCCTTGTGACTGCTCATTTATAACCCTCAGTTTTCACCTCCTTCTGCCCTTGTCCCTGATGAGGGATGCACAGTTCTGTAGGATTCACTGGGGAGGAACCATAATCTCCTGCCAGGATGTAAAAACCCAGGCAATGACTCAGTGCCACGCAGCCCTGCAGCTGGGTGAGGGTGGGGGGACACACTGGAGGTGGGAGCAATATGCAGGGAGAGGGCAGGCGTTCAGGACAGGGGGCTGAGCTGTAGCCTGAGAGGAGAACAAGGTGTTCTGCCGGTTTGACTTTGGCTGTGACGCCCAAACCATGTTGCTGCTGCTGAAATCGGGATCTGCGCAGCTCCAGGTTTGCTTTTCCATCAGTAAGGGTCCAGCACAGCACCAACATTTGCTCACTGTTCCCTTTCGACAAAGCCTTCCTGGGGATGCTGAGCAACAGGAGAGCAGAGGGAGCTGCTGTTCATGTACACATTTGCTGTAAACGCGGAGAGCATTCTGCTTCTGCACGGTGGGATGCCCTGCCTAACCCAGATCAACACCGGTGTGGCCAATGCAAAGCGTCAAAACGGCAGCATGGCATCTTGCCTGGGCAGTGGGAAGCACAGCCCTGCAGGCACCCTCTCAGCAAGGCCCCAGGCACTCACGCTGCTCCCTGGTAGCGTGGTGCCTCTCCAAACAGGCGGCAGAATGCAGCACCTCTTTGGCCAGCTGATTTGCTGTGTGCCTGCATCCGTCACATCTGCTGGTTTTAATGGCGTGAATCAGCTTTTATTGCCTCTCACTTAGAAAACACAAAAAAGAGGGCAGCCAAAGTCTGGGTGTCGATCCTCCATCTTCATTTTCTGTAGAAATGTGTGCTGTGGTGCAGGCACTTCCAATTTGGTTAAGCCACTGAAAGTTTGGAGGCTGCACAGGTGTGAAGATGCCTGCAGAGTTTTCAGTGCTGGCAAGGGGAGGAAGGAGCCCTGCTGCAAGCCAGCTGCCCTAAAACAGCCTTGCAGAGCTGGTGCACAGAGGGTTCAGCTTTTTCTGATATCTCATCATCCTCTTGGCAATAAGCACACGGTTTCGTAATGGCTTGCAGTTTTTCAAACGAGGCTGAGCAAAGAGCCTGGTGAAACGCCCTCTGAGCTGCCCCATCCTAAAGCTGGTAGGGAAGGGTCCCTAAGGGCTGTCGTGTTTTATGGGACACATTTTCTCCCCAGCCCCCCGCCACAAAGAGCAACCCCATGGATGTCAAGGAAGGCAAGTGCTTCTCTGCATCCAGGTCAGAAAGAAAACTTTCTGCATCTGAGACTTCTTGGCCCTTCTTCCCCTGCAGATCATGCTTTGCAAAGGAAGGTCCAGTCACTCACATTGCTCACATTGCCCCAATCACCATTGTATGCCACTTGTCCCACAGCATCGTGTCCTGGGACTGGCTGTAGGGCCACATGCATAAGCAGTGAGGAGCAAACCCACAAGGAAATTCAGGCAGTGCTTGGTTTTGCATAACAGTGCTATTTTGTGTCACTTGTGGCTTACTGTTGTGTTGTATGAGAAGAGATTATTGGATGCAAAGCCTCAACACTGTAACTGGAAGGAGAGACGGACAGTAGTTACATCCATCAGTGAATCTGGAGGAGATGGTGAACAAAGGCAGGTTTGCATTGTTCCTCCTCATGTTTTAAGACAGGGATGGTATGGGGCCTGTCGCAGGAACCACTGGTCCTCTGCTTCTTCTGCAAAGCAGCCATCACAAGAGAGGAGGAGGATGCATATTGCTGCCTCTGGAATGACGGTATTTAGGTCATCCATATCGAGCTAAGACATGAGAGTATTGTCTGCGTCCCCATTGCTGAACGTGTAATGGGTTGGAGGCACTGTGTTGGTGACCCTGGATGTGCATTAGTATTGGCCTGTTGGTTTGTATTTCGTTTCATGACCTGCTTAGCGTGCTCTGTGCTATCACTGGGCAGGGAAAATTGAATTGCAGCACTCAGAAATTTCCTTAGCAAGAGGCAGCAGCCTGGGTATCTTCGGAAATAAACCAGGAGGGGGATATGGGTTTCTGTGCTTAGGATAATGGCCAATATCCTTATAGTTTGCGTGCTAGTTAGCACTTAGTTGCCAAGGAAAATACAAGAGAGGCCAGATCAGGCAGCCCCATGGGGCTTCAAAATTGTCTCTGGAAGTAGAAAGGATCACAGAATTTTGCCCTAACCGTCATCCCTCCAGGAATACCCTGATTGGTGCTGTGTGTATGTTCTGGCTGAGACTGAGTGCTATGAGTCGCCAGCTCCTTGGGCAGGCACTGTGGTGCCTAGCAGGAGGGGAGCAGGGGGGCTTCTGTGGGGGCCTGGCACAGCCGTGCTGCTGTGGGCCATGCCTGATGTCAGCACGGCTTTGCTGGGCAGGGCAGTGAGGGTGGCACGGTGAGTACGGCGATGCCGTGGGACGCATTCCTGTGCTTCTCTCTGCTTTTGTTTTCAATCAGTACAGACGATAAAAATGCTTTCACAAATGTTCCGTGGGGGACCCTGCTGACCGGCAGCCGGGTGTCTTTGCTCCTCGTTCCCCTGACCACCCTCCACTCTCCCCTCTCCTCCCAGTGGGTCCTGGGTGCTGCCCACATCAAATGTCTGTGGGTTTCCACACGGGCACAATTCTGACGCCAGGCATAATGTGGCGAGCGAGCAGGAATACAGCACACAGACCTGGGACGATCCCAACGTGCAGATTGCAGCCGGCACCGCTGACTACGTGCATTTCTGCGTTTGCACGTTTGCATGTGGTTACAACCTCCTGCCGTGCCGTGGTGGAGGAGGGGGGTCACGTCCCACCAGGCTGCGTCCATCGGCAGCTAAAGTGCAGCAATGCAAAAGGGAGCGTTAATCAGCACCGCTCTGGGCTCAATAACGTGCGCGTGGATCAGAGTGGGATGGGGCAGGCGGAGCGCCGGGCTGCGTCCTGCCCTGCAGGATTGCCAAATATTGGGGGGCTGCGCCGCTCTGCGCCAAAAACCATCGGCACTGCGACCGCGCGGCCGCGACGTCTGCGAGTCCTGCGTGTGCCTCGGCAGCCCCACGCTGCGCCATAACCGCGTCCTCAGCGCGCCCAGCGGACGCGGGCACCGACGGCCAAGCAGCACCGAGCCTCGGCACCTCCGCGACCCTGCCTAGCCAAACAAGGGCCCAAAAATGAGCATTTGAGACACCAACCAAATTCGGCAGGTATGGAGCTTCTCTTGAACCAAGAAAAAACAACAAAAAAACCCATTGAGTTGGGAGTTGGAAGCAGCGGGGAAGATGGTGCTGGGGTGACTTTGCTGTGAGCTCCTCCCGCTGTGCGGTGGGCCGTGCAGCTCTCTCACCCGTCTTTTTTCACTCCTTTCCTCTCTTTCCTTTCCTGTGTGTTTTTTGCATGACTTAACTGACGCTGACTTCTTGACCTCATGGCGAGCAGCTAACATTCTTCCCCGAGGTGTGGGCTAACAGCACTGGTAGCTGCCTGACCCGTAGCTGGCTGTTCTTAGATGCCCTTCTCTGTGTTTTTCTTAATACCTCTTTTTCTTCTCTCTGCCGAACACTTTTTGTTCAAAGAGAACTAAAAGCAGATTTCCGAAATTCCTAGACAAGCCCAACGACAGACGACAGCACTAAACAAAATAACTGAGCAGGCAAAGCTCACGGCAAGGTCATTCCCCAGCTTATGTCACCTGCAGGTCTGCTTCCAACTCGAGATTAATTCAAGGATCTACCAGTCCTTGGTTAATGTAAAGAACCAATTGTGTGCCGCACACGCTCAAGAAAGTTAAAAAAGAAAAAAAGAAAAAAAAAAAATTTTGGAAAATCTGCATGAACTGCACCGACACTTGAATCTGATCAAAGGGCAAACGTGACTCCTGGTCCGTGCATGGTGCATGATGATTTCTGTGAGCTGAGATCCTCTGAATTGTTTGCTATGCGAAATCAGAACAGCTCTATATGGCTGAATGCCCTGCAGTTACTAACTGTACATCAGACATTATAGGGACTGCATCTGTGTATGTATATGTGCATTGTTACAGGGATGGCGTATGTGTATGTTCAGCTGTATGTATATATACATTTATGATGTATATTGTAGTTGTTGTGGGGGTTTTTTTGTTTGTTTGTTTGTTTTCCTCCTTAATTTAGTTGTTTTAGATTTCCTTACATGTTGAGCAGCCCCGAGTCAGTGCCTTTGGCCTGATGTGTTCTTTCCATTGCAGAACCGCATGCACGAATCACTGAAACTGTTTGACAGCATCTGCAACAACAAGTGGTTCACAGATACGTCCATCATCCTCTTTCTAAACAAGAAGGACATATTTGAGGAGAAAATCAAGAAATCTCCACTGACGATCTGCTTTCCTGAGTACACAGGTAATGAGAAAGCTTTGGCTGCAGGACAAAGGCATGGGAGGGCTGCACACGGCGCTCCCCACCCAGGCAGGCAGAGAGCTGAAAGAGTTCTGAATGCACAGCTGTACTCCCATCAATTTCTCTGCAAAAGTTTTTTTTTTTTCCTTCACTATATTCCCAACCATCTCCAGTGGGTCACAAAAAGCACAGGAGTGACTTAGAAGTTCTTTGGCACTGAAGAGCCACCACTGCTCACCAGGGCGTTTGCACAATCAGGGTATTGGCACAGTGATGGCGTTTGCAGGGAATTGCACAGCCCTGCTTCCTGATGCCTGCCTGGTGCCTGACCTGCTCATGATGGGAACACATCTCCCATGCAAAGTCTGCAGCTGCACCCTGCTGCTTCCCGCTGCAGATCCCACAAACCCTCATTACCATTCCGAGAGGGCATAATAAAAATAAGCTTTTATCATCATGAATTATTTAAGTTCGCCAGAGACATCCAGATGAATCAAGCTGACAGACAGAGAAGCGGATCTCTTTGTCAGGAAACATAGCTGTGAACAGGGAGCACCAGGAGCGTCACACTTATGGACAGGCGAACAAATTATTAACCAGAGCCATCTACCTCTGAGCACTTTGTTTTTGCTGTGAATGGGGAAGAGCAATCCACTCCTGCTCCTCTGGGCTGCATGGTGGATCATCGACTCTGCCTGAGTTTTGAGGAGCACCTCCAGGTTTCCTCAGCAGGAAAGGTCTGGGTGTTTGTCACCACCACAACTCAGCCATCTACTTGTCCCCCTGCTCCAGGCAGAAACACAGTACTCCTGTACAACCACAATGTTCCTGGCACTTTAGTCTAAGAGATCTATACTGGAATCTCTACTAAAAGATCTAATTCTTGAAGGGAGAATATAAACAAGAGGGAGAGCGACTCTTTACAAATCATAGGTTAAGGAGAAACGGTTTTAAACTGAGACAGGGGAGGTTTAGGTTGGATATTAGGAGGAAGTTTTTCCCCCAGAGGGTGGTGAGGCACTGGCACAGGCTGCCCAAGGAGGCTGTGGATGCCCCATCCCTGCAGGCATTCCAGGCCAGGCTGGATGTGGCTCTGGGCAGCCTGGGCTGCTGGTTGGTGACCTGCACACAGCAGGGGGTTGGAACTGGATGAGCACTGTGCTCCTTTGCAGCCCAGGTCTTTCTATGATATGACTCTATGATCTGGCAATGGAAATGGCACAGTCTTTGTGGCTGAAGGCTCACAGTAATGCCAACCTCATGTTTTTCATGGTTGTAGAATAGGATGTTGCTTGCTCTCTTTTTGGATCACTGTATTCTTTATCCTGGAAGATTTTTATCTTCCCCTCTTCCTGTGTGCAGCAAACCTGCACCTTTCACACTTTCCTCATCAAGTTTTGTGCACTTAATTTAGTTAACTTAACCTTCCCTGAAGTCTCCCAGTAATCCCGTTCCGAAATAATACCCTTCCATACTTCTGATGGCAGAGGCTGGAGCAGCCAGGAAGTGTTAGATGCCACTTGTCCTCCCCAAGGTGAGTTCTGTACTGGGGGCAGCTCTCAGCTCCCCTCCAAGTGCCGGGAGGAAAACAAATATGGTTTGCTCCTAGAACACCCCATCCCAGGCTGAGCCAATGCAGCCCTCTCCAGCTCCTCCAGCTCTCAGCATACTCCAGATTCCCTCGAGGTGCCATTCTGGATGCCCAGCCCATAGCAAATGCCTCGTAGCATTGGGAAAAGCAACGGGAAGTGGAAAGTTGCCCTGGAGTTAAAAAAAAAATATTTGATGAAAGCCTGTGAAACAGACAAGCGGGATTCTGACATCAAAAGTCGGTTACACAAAATGCTTTTAATGAAATGAAGTTTCTGATGTCCATTAGTTCTGCTGGCAAAGAATTATTAGAGAACTGCATTCACAAATGTGCTAGCTGCATGCTAGAGCACTGCCTATTTCCATCCCCTTAATTCACCCGCGCTTTCAGCTAATCCGCAGTGCTCAGCAGCACAGCAGCACGATCCGGGCTGTGCTCTGAGCCGTGCTGGTGTTTGTGATTCCGGCCATCCAGGATCTAAATTCTAAATCCTTGAGCGACCAACATCGCTGCATCTCCCAGTGTCCTGCTTTGTGCTCTGGCCCAAACTCTGCACAGCTCCTCGGGCAGCATCCTGCTCCCGGCAGGATGACATCCTTGTCATACTTCAAGCGCATCTCAAGTCTTGTGGCCTCCATGTTTTCAGACAGCAGTGGAGGTACAGATGACAGCCACCACTTGTTGCCTTCAACTGCAGCAAATCACAGCCCCAGGCAGAGCTTCACTGTCCCATCGCAGTGTCTCCCCAGGGGTTGGACCTTGTGGGTCCCTTCCAACTCCGGATATTTGGTGATTCTATGAAAACAACAATTGAGGGAGAAGGATCCAAGCGTGGATCCATGCAGGGGCCAGGGGCAGCTGAGCCTCCCAGATCTGTGCCAGGTGGAGCTGTGTGTGTCAGCCAGTGCCTGTCATCCAGGATGACGTTTTTTGATGCTGAGCCACCCCTGAGCTTCTTAGAACTCTGCTCCATGCATAATGGCTGAGGTTTGGCACAGAGACTCATAACGAGGAGCTCCTCCTGACACGATTTTGTCCATGCAATCCTAAGTCATCCGAAAGGCCCAGCGAGGTGGTGGATGTCTCATCCCTGGAGACATACAAGGTCAGGCTGGACAGGGCCCTTCTTTGATTCTGAGCGAGCACTTCTGTCTTTCAAAAGAAAGAAACAGAACCACTGGCACTTCTTTGTAGCGTGGTGCCCTGGGACGCGGGGCTGTGGGTGCAGGTCCATGGTACACCCTAACCAGCTCTTCCCCTCTGGGCTCATCTCTCCGCAGGCCCCAGCTCCTTCACCGAGGCAGTGGCGTACATCCAGGCGCAATACGAGAGCAAGAACAAGTCTCCCAACAAGGAGATCTACACGCACATCACCTGCGCCACCGACACCAACAACATCCAGTTCGTCTTCGACGCTGTCACGGACGTCATCATCGCCAACAACCTGCGGGGCTGCGGACTCTACTGAGGCCTCAGCAGACAGGTCCCCCTTCTGCTTCCCCTCCTTGGAGGGTGATGAGGAAGGAACACGTGAACCCTTCCCTCTGCCCAGAACTGCAGCATCCCACCTTCCCTGGCCCCCTCCCTGGCTTATTTGGGTTTATTTTTGGTGAATTCCCCTCGCTGCCTCTTTCTGCTCCTCCATTCCCATTCGCAGTGCTGTAGAAGGAGCTGATGCATTTCCCACAAAGTGCATTTCAACTGCCAAAAAACAGTAATACCCCATTTAAAAAAAATAATAATAATCAAAGCCTTAAAGTATTTGTCAGCAACAGCGTAGTTTGGATCCAAACCCGTTTTTTTTTCTCCTTGAAATTAAGGGATATTTGTAATGCTTGCTATTTATCTCTTCCAAAATTGCCATTTCCTGGGCAGCAGCAAATCGTTTTGATGCCATTGCTCCAGCTCCTGCCCCTGGAGCCCCGGGAAGAGCCCCAGCAGCCCCGCTCTGTGCTCTGCTCTCTATCAGTGACACAGCCACCGGGGGCTGAGGGAGACCCGCACAGTTACAGCACCTCCGAAGCGATGCCTAAAATTGCTGCAGATAACAGTTTTACATCAATATTTTCAGAATTAATGTTAAGATCTGCCTGGTGTAAAGTAAAGAGTAAAGAGTAGAGTAAAGTGGCTCCTGTCCCCAGCCCTGTTGTGCTTTGCTGGGTCCCATGTGGAATGGCTGTAGGGAAGTGCCCATGGTGGGGATTTCCCTGTGTGCCAAGGGAGGAAGTGTCCCAGCCAGGGCTCTGTGCATGTCATGGTGGCCCTGGGGATGCTGCTGGCAACCCACAGCCCTCTGCCCCACGTTGCACCGATGGGGACTGCAGGGAAATGTCCCGGAGCCCTTCCAGACTGACTGCAGTGCTGATGTTCCTAACTTCAGCTCTGGAACACCAGAAATATTCACACCGGTTTCCTGCAGCCAGGCTGTACCTATAAGGCAGGGATGTGCTTTTGGAAGCCTCATTGGAAACCAGCAGCAGCTGGTGGATTTGTCACCCATGCCCCTGCATCCTGGAGGTGTGGCTCCAGAGTTAGTCACAGAGTTGGTCACCTGCCAACCAGCAGATGGGGAAGGTTGACCTGTCTGCTTTGTGGGGAGGGAGCTGAGCTGAGCTGAGCCGAGTGATGGAGCAGGAAAAGGGCAAGGAGAGGGGATTGGGGGAGAGCAGGGGACAAGTGAGTGGGGAGGGGCTGGGGAGCTCAGGGGTCAGAGACAGAAGTTGCAAAAGGACTGTAGGGGAGGTGAAAGCAGCAGGAGGGAGGAGAGGCTAAAGAGCTGAATGTTAGTTCCAAGTGATACCTTCAGTGTACGTAACTGTCAGCTCCAGCACGGAGCACATCATGTGCAGAGTGCCCCAGTGCCTACACCAGCAGCAAGGCCTTACTGAGCTCCATCAGCAGAATCAACTCAGCAGCATGCGGGGTTTGGAGGTGCGCTGTTTCCACCCCTTACTGTGCCTGACATTTTCTCCAATTAACCAAGTCACAGAGGCTGTCTCCAGTGAAGGCAGCACCAAACCAAAGCCTCAGGAGGGTCTAGAATGGAGAATGCAGGGCTCTTTCGGGGAAGAAAGTGTGAATTAACCACAGATGTGGCTGTGTCACCATTCCCTGTGACTGGCAGTCCAGGCAGTGCCAGACTGGGGCAGCCCAAGTGCCAGCCCAGTGTCTGCAAGATGGAGAGCGGGGGCAGGAGGCAGTGCTGCAACGGAGCCTTTCCTTTCCTTTGGCATTTTGTACATCTAAAGCTCCATTCCAGCTGCTGCTGTTGGTGTCCCGTTCCCTCCTTCCCAACAGATGTGCCTTCTGGAGGCGATGCTCCTTCGTGGGGTACCACGTGCAGGGCACACTGAGGGGTCGCAGCAGAAAGGGAGAACCTGGTGCTGCTCTGTATGCAGCGAGAGGGCCAGTTTCAGGGAGATGGCAAAACTCCATCAGCTCACTTTGCTGAAGGGCAATTCCAAAGACGCAGAACCCCGCAGGAGGAAAACCTTTCCAGGGCCTGATAGCAATAAGCACACACCCACAAGCACACCTGAACGCACAGCCACGTGCTCCAAAGGCCACATCTCCTGGGCCCTTAGGGACCCCCTCAGAGAGTGCAGCACAGCTGTGCAAACGACCCGGCAGAGACAGGAGCTCTGGCAGCACCCAGTGCCCCGCAGTGCCTTCACCGTGACCAGCCTCAGCCCTCCGCCTCGCACACAGAGTTGAAAGAGGAACCCCCTCCCTACTAAAACCCCGCTCCCAATGCAGCACCCTCTCCCCGCTCCTCCTTTCCCCCTGCAGCTCGACACAGGAGCAGCGACCGTCACCGTGGCTCTGGCGCCGTCCCCTCCTCCCGCCGGACCGCCGAGCCGCTCCTCCCGCATGTCTGATGGCCCCAACCGCATTAACTGTAATTTTGTACGAAGAGTGACTGTCCATTGGTTTAATAGAACGTTAGCTATTGTAATAATTTATTGGCTGTCAGTAATGTATTTATTAGTTACAAAATGTTAATAAAGTGCCAGCTCTTTTCTAGTGTGAGAGGGCTTTATTTGGTCTCCCTTGGCATGTTCTGCTTCTTGGCCCCAGCGTCGGCCGTTCTTCTGCTCCATGCACGTAGAGCAGCCATCCGTATGCTGGGTTTCCTGCTCTTGCCTTGCACCTGGAAGAGCACTGGCAAAGGATGAAGCCGGAAGGTGAGAGATCTTCACCCCAACATGGCCGTATCTGCACTGCTCATTGCCAACGCAAGCAGCCAACTGCAACACTGCGGGGTAAAGAGCAGCCACGTGCACCGCGCTCTTTCGAAGACCCGGCCTTCTGCTGCGAGGCTCTGCTGTTGTAAGCATCTGCACGAAAGGCATTCAGACAAACCATGGCCATCTGGCACCATGCATTGCAGACGGCGTCCTCAGCTTGTTGCCAGCGTTGCCCCAAGCCTTCCTCCAGCGTCGTGGCTGCACACCCAGCACCAGCAGCGAGTGTTGCGATGTTCTGCCTCCGTCAGTCAGTGCCAGCACAGCGACAAAGACGCTATTTCTGGTTCAATTTCAGCAAATCGTGCTTCTCCCCCACCACGGTGACACAATACTTGGAGCACCTTTTGGTCCCCTCAAAATAACACTCGTGTCACTTTGTTCTTTTGTGTTTGATCCAAAGGGCTTCCATTACTGGAGGCAAGAAATAGAAAGCATGAATACCAGTTTGAAGAAAGCAAGGGAAAATTTTCCATCAGCCTCAGCGTAGGAAAATCAGCTGTCATTGCTGCTGCCTTCACTGCGTTCAGCGCTGCGGCTTCGGCAGGACCTGGCCTCACAGCCCCATCCTGCAGAGCTAAGGACCAGCTCCAGGGAGCACCGGAGGCTCAGGAAGAGGGATTTTCCTTTGTGTATTTGTCCTAGGGTTTCCCAACATCTCCTCCAGGATGGTGTCCTGCATGGGCGCCTGGAAGTCATCAGGGCTGTTCTCGCTGCATCTGGGGCTTCCATCCCCCAGGCGCAGCCTTTGTTTCCTCCGCTCCTGCACCACTCCTTTATAGTGTTCATGCAGAACAAAGCGGGGTGAACAAGGAAACGAAACCTGCCCTGCTGCCTGTGGGAAAACCGCCAGCCCTTTTGCAAAGGCCGCTTGGCCAAGGCGAGAAGAGCTGCGTCCACTTGTGATGGTTTGTTTTCAATCAATCAATAGGAGTTTTTAAAATACATGTATAAGGATCAAATGAGGTCCAGAAGCTCTGGAAAGCAGCTGTTTGGCATTCACAGCTCTGCTTCGCCAAGGAAACGACAGCGTAATCTCAAAGCCTTTCGAGATGAAATCAGACATCTGCTAAATTTTGCATGCAAAAGCTGCAGCCGAAGTGTAGCTAAGAAAATGACTCACTAATAAAACATTCATGGAAAACTCCAAAATGTGTAATTGGGTCATCATTTCATTAGGGAGCACCTGCACGCTCCCGGATGGCGAAGGAGCGCTGTGCCCCGACTGCCAAGCCCACAGCCCCGCAGCCCCTCGGCATCGCCTCCTCCTGCTCTCCTTTCTCTCTGTCCTCTCTGCTAACAGCTCTCACAGCACGGGGAAGGCCGGGTGTGGTTTGTTCATGCATGAAAGGAGTACTAAACAACACGGCTCTTAGCGGTTTCCTCTGTGTTCCTGCTCAAGCTCTCACATGCTTTAAGCCTCCCCAGAGCAGCCCAGGGGCGGGCTCGGCAGCTCCCTTTGTGCCCTGCATTTCTCAGCCAGGAGCTGCAGTTCCCAAAGGCTGAGGACGTGGCTGAGGGCTCCGTGGGGCAGCACCTGCCCCAGCCCCGTGCTGCACCCTGGGCTGTGCCCCACCGTGATGGCATCACTTGGCCCACAGGTGGGTCACCCCAGAGCCCGCAGCCGCTTCCCTCCCTCTTTGGGCAGATGATGAATCAACAGCTCTTTCTCCACTGTTTCTCGTGACTCCAGCATCAGTCCTGCCAGGAGCAGGGGGTGGTGGAGGAGAAGCTGCAGCCCCATGCCCCACCTCACCCCTACCCCTGTCTGACTGTACGGGTTTTGCTTCCTAACCATTTCAGTGTGGAAAAACCAGTTCTCTTCTCTTCTAACTCTCTCTCTTTGCCTTTCTCTCCTCCTCTCCATGCTCCCTGTTGCAGAACCGCATGCACGAATCTCTCATGCTCTTCGACTCCATCTGTAACAACAAATTCTTCATTGATACCTCCATCATTCTCTTCCTCAACAAGAAAGACCTATTTGCCGAGAAGATCAAGAAGTCCCCCCTGACCATCTGCTTCCCCGAGTACGCAGGTAGGTGTGGGGCTGCAGCTCAGAGCTGGGGAGGGTCGTGGATGCTGAGGCACCTCCAGGGGTGCACCAGCCCTGGGCGTTCCTTGGGCTCTTGTTTATGTTTGGTGAATTCTTGCGGCAAGCAGCGGGGGGTCGGAGCGCCCTCGGCGCATCCAAGTGCAGAAAGCTCCGTGCTCTGAAGTGCTGTGAACGCCTTCACCAGCATCTCTGCTCCTTGTGGTAATGCGCTTCTCCTCCTCCTGCCCACGGGGCTCCTGAGGCGCTCACTGGCCACAGGTCTGCCATCCTCTCCACATGCAGCACCAGCCCCATGGCGCAGCCGTTGGGTTGTCTGCAGCCACCCGAGGGGATGGGCCGCCATTGGCATGGAGAAGACCAGGCCAACGAGGCTGCAGTCTGCGTGCTCCTGCACTCAGCCGTACTGATGGGGCCCGAAGAGGAGTGGGGCTGCGAGCGCCCCAAGGCCACAGCTCCCACCTCACCCTCTGTGAGATGCAAAGTGCAGTCCTGGGGGGAAGGAGTCTCTACAGTGGAAATCCTTCAAATCACAGGAGATTCGTACTTTTTAAAAAAGAGTAAATGAAACCAACATGGCTTGGGAAAACAAACAAACAAAAAAAAAGAATGAAGAAAACGCCATAGAAAGATGTCTGCTCTGAATATTCTAAGGGGAAGAAATTATCTCCCGTGTGGGAAGCTCCAGCACCTCCCATGAGGGCTTGGTGCCCCTGCCCTGGCACACCTCTGTGCCCCCATGGGCACCCCAGGGTGATGCAGATGGGCCCAGCCACAACAGTCCTGCATCCCAGCACAGACACAGCTCCGCTCCCGCTGTCCTTTCTGGCCAATCCCCAAAGCACATCAGCTCACTCTCCATCCCCAAGGCTGGGGCCGGCCCTACAACCACATTCTGTGTCTGGAAGGAGGGGAAGCAGCGCGCTTGAAAAGGAAACTAAATCTGCAGATGACAGCGACTCTCCCAAAGGCGATTTCAGGGGCATAATTCAGGCTTTGTAGCTCCGTGCGAGGAGCCTGGTGCAGCCACTCTCATCACTGTAAGCAGCTTAATGCCATAATGCACATTTTTCAACCCGAACATCTGGCCCTCCTCCAGCCTGTGAAGCTCCCCAAAGCACCAAGCAAAGGGCATTGGTGTGGCACCGAGGGGCTCCCACACACCGCAGGGTGCCTCTGGCCCACCCCAAGCAAGTCCCTTGTCCCACCCATGGGTGACGGTGGAGGGGGCACCCAGTGGACATCCCAACCCTTTCCACTGATGTTTGGCCCTGGGGCTGCCCAACACTATGGGATGTGTGGTGGGGACTCATCGGTGCTGCTGGGATGGGCATCCCTGAGGGTGAACGAGTATCCCTGGGGATGGATGGGCAACACAGGGATGGATGGGCACCCCTGGGGATGGATGGGTGTCCTCCATCACAGACTCCATTTGCTGGGGGAAATAGGGGGGTGGGAGGGCACATTTGTGGCACCTGGGGAGGGAGGAGCCTGTGGCAGATCCCAACTGCTGGCAAAGAGGGAGGAAAGGGGTAAATGTTGAGACAAAAGGGGTCGGGGGGAGGAAGGGAGAAATTGGAGTGGGAAATGGGGTGGAAAAGGGGAGAAGGGGCAAAGGGGCCGTTCCTGTGAAGCCATCAGCCCCAGGGTGCCGGGGCACAAGGCTGAGATCCAGGCTCCCATGGAAGAACGCTGAAATGGCTGGGAAAAAAAAGGTAGAAACAATAGTTTGGGGCTGTTCCTTCCCCGGTGGGGTCCGACCTGACGTCTCCGTGCCGTCCCCTGTGCCTGCAGGTCCCAACACCTACGAGGACGCGGCCGCCTACATCCAAGCACAATTCGAGAGCAAAAACCGCTCGCCCAACAAGGAGATTTACTGCCACATGACGTGCGCCACGGACACGAACAACATCCAGGTGGTGTTCGACGCCGTCACCGACATCATCATCGCCAACAACCTGCGGGGCTGCGGCTTGTACTGAGCCCCGCGGCGGCGGCGGCCCCGCGCACCACCCACACCGCACCACACACACCGAGCGCGACGGGAGAAACAGCGGGACGGAAACAAAGTCGTAACCATAATCATGCGAGTTGGTAAATACAAAGGCGTAAGGAAATTATATATATACGTATATATATATATAAAAACAAAACAAACAAAACGACGAACCCACCACCACCTTTCAGTTGGTCTCAGAGCCGCGGGCGGGAGGAGGGACCTTCCCACCCGCTCTGCGGTTTGGGTTTTTTTGGTTGTTTTTCTCTTTTTTTTTTTTTTATTTAAAATTTCTGTGGGGTGAATGGTTTTATTCCCTCCTCAAGGATGGCTATTCTTTTATTGTTTAATTTTGTTTTATTTTATTTTATTTTATTTTATTTTATTTTATTTTATTTTATCTTTAAAGAGGGAAATGATAGCAATGGCAGAGCTCGCTCCTGACCACACGTCCTGGCCAGCAGGGAGCTGAGCTGCCGCCCTTCTCCCATCCCTCCCCCGGCGGTCGGGCAGGACGCGCAGCGGCACTCAGTGCAGAGACGAGCTGCCATCCGCTCTCCTCTTTTAGTTTCGTTCTGTTCCTTTCATTCTTTTTTAACCCCCCCCCCCCATGTAGGTGACCCCCCCTCATTCCCAACCGGCAGCCGGGGCTGCGGGCGGTGCCGTTCTCCATTCCGGGGTTTTTTCCCCCATTTTCCCCCATGCAGAAGCACAGCCCTCTGAGCTCCCACCG